ATGTGAGTCTGTCCTCTCTAAATTGTTAAGCTTTTTGTGGGCCTGGTCCTGTCACATGGACATTTATGGCCCTCCTAGGGTGGCTTGTGGGGAGAGGCGAGCTCTGATCCTTTGATGGAATTACAACCAAATAGGGACATTTACAGTACCACCTCCAGTGGTGTCCCTGATGATTGCAACTGCTGCATTTGTGGGCTGGGTTTGGGGGGGGGGGGCTTTTTCTTCTCCCCTGAATTCCCAGGAAAGCTTTTCTCTGGCCATCCTTTCTTTGGCTGCCTTGATTAAGCACCTACTTCTCTGTGCTCAGTTGTGTTCTAAATGTTACTCCTCTCATTTAGTCTAAAGCATTATTTCAAACCCGGGAGTGAACACCGACAGTTTCTTAAGCCCTCAGTCCCTGTTTGGGAGTATGGTTTTCTTGATAACCAACATCAGCCAGAAACCTCTTTTGTTGAGTCTTTTTAAAATGCACCAGGTAGGGGCGCCTGGGTGGCTCAGTCATTAAGCGTCTACCTTCGGCTCAGGTCATGGTCCCAGGGTCCTGGGATCGAGCCCCACATCGGGCTCCCTGCTCGACGGGAAGCCTGCTTCTCCCTCTCCCACTCCCCCTGCTTGTGTTCTCTCTCTTGCTATGTCTCTCTTTGTCAAATAAATAAAATCTTAAAATAAATAAATAAATAAATAAAATCTTTAAAAAAAAAATGCACCCGGTATTTAAATGTCTCTTTCCCCTCCTCAAGCTGGCCTTAGTACTCCCTACTCCCCACACCTGATTCTGCAGGGGCTCAAGTGCTTCTTCAGTTTTTTAAATTGAACAGTTTGATCCTGGGCCCCTTCCTGGAGCTCCCTTTGATTTGCTTGTTACAGAATCTTACAAAGTTTGTTTTGTTTATTGCCTCTTTCTCCTAAAAGGCTGGTCCCTAAAACAACAAAAGCAAAACCCATTTAGAAGGGCTGATCGAGGGTTCTTGTTTTCTACTGAGGGTTTTAGGCTGCAGTGACTTGGAGGTGAAAGGATCAGCCAGCTTATTTTGCATCTTCTACCCCATCTGTCCCCTCCCAGCTGGTTGGATGGCCTTTCGCTGAATGACTGCTGTGCGCCAGGCACTCTGCAGCCCCTGAAGAATTGCCTCGCTGCTTCCTGCATGCAGTGGAGACCTAAGGGGCTGTAGGAGATAATGGAAAGCAGAGAAGGAAGCTAAGGAGAATTGATTGATTTTTTTCCTGTATAATTTCTATCTTCTGGCTTTCTCCCTCTTTTTTTAAAATTATGCAGCTTTGCCAAATCAGATGAGTTCATTGTCTTCTTGAGGTTGAGAACAGAGCTCGAAACTCCCGGACCTAGGGTTGTCAGAGAGAGAGCCCAATGCACAGATTAAGTCAGCCTCCCGCCCAGAAGGGTGGCTTCCAGAAGCCTCTGGATGATTATTTGCTCTTCCTGATGTTCTTCCCTTTCTTGTTAACCCAGGCATCACTGAGAGGGTCCTCTCAAACACCTGCTCTTTGCCATGACTCTCCTACTCTGATGTTTGGGCAACAGGGCCATATTTTTTTCTTGTGTTCCTGGTGTCTTAAAATGACCTTGTTTCGGGGCGCCTGGGTGGCTCAGTCGTTAAGCGTCTGCCTTCAGCTCAGGTCATGATCTCCCCGCATCAGGCTCTCTGCTCCGCGGGACGCCTGCTTCTCCCTCCCCCACTCCCCCTGCTTGTGTTCCCTCTCTCGCTGTGTCTCTCTCTGTCAAATAAATAAAATCTTTAAAAAAAAAAAAAAAAATGACCTTGCTTCTACCCACCCACCCCCCTTTTTGTTTTTACTTCTACAGCCTCCTTACTTTCTTGGACCTGGGGCAGCCTCTTTACAACACTGAGCCCGATGTATTTAGCTTGTCTCCTTTGTCTGACCGTCATAGGTAACATAAAATAACCCGTGTGCACTTATCTTACCAGGCTAACATTGCTGTGCTGTTGACATACTCTAAGGCTCCCTCCAACTCTGTCCATCTTTGATCAGATTCAGCTCCTCTTGTAATTCTGCCCTTCTTGAGAACCCTCAAATGCTCCCTTTGTCCTTTGAACATAGTACAAACACCTTCTGTTGCAGTCAGGGCCCTCTGCAAGATGGTTTCATTGCTCGGCACTTTTTTCTGAATTTTCCTTATTGTATTATGCAACCCAGCTAGCTGGGGCTGCTTGATATTTTCTAGGCTTTACTTACACTTTCCTACCTCTGCATTTGCTTAAACCGTCTTCTGATCAGATAAAGCCCCCACTTGAAATGCTGCCCCCTCATGTGAACCTTGCCTAGTCTCTCCCACACAAGATGTGGTCTCTCCTGCTTTGTGCTCCCTGTCTTGTGGCACTAATCACGTCCTTTGAGGTGTATTAGAATGTCTATGTGCAGAGTATCTTTGGAAGAATATTAAAGAAATGGGTGCAGTGCCTTTGAAGAGAGGAACTGAGTGACTCAGGAACAGGAGAGGGTTTACTTTTCACTGTACACCCTTCTTTTTGAGTTTTATATCATGTGTATGTATGTCCTATGATTTTTTTTTTTCAGTAAAATTATTATTTACATAACAAAGATCCACTCTAGAAAACATTGGGGAGTACGTTTATAACCTCAGAGGGTACGTTTATAACCCCAGAGAAATGTCCTTAAGACACAAGACCCGGAAGCCATAAAGAAAACAACTTTTAAAATGTATGTGTATACTTGTCATAGTCCTCTTTAGCTCCAAGTACCTGAAGTGCTTATCTTTTTTATCCTTTTTCAGAGCAGAGCACAATGACTCCTACATAATAATAAATAATAGTTGAAACGAAATGAAATTGCCAAGTCACTTCTTTGTAGACCTCACTCTTTTTCACTGATCGAATGAATGCTGGGTGATCTCCAGGGTTCCTCTCATAGATTCCATGCAGATGTGGGCTTTATGGGCAGGGATACCAGCAAAGCGGGAGTGGCTTTAGAATCAGCAGCTCTTCCTCTGAGACCGTCTTTCCCAGCACCCTGGACCTGTGAGTGGGTCCTGCCTGCTTCTTGGAGCTGCCCTGGAGTGCTCAGCGTTATGCCTCGGAAATGCCCCAATTAGACACAGTCCTAGGAGAGCTGGGGGATCTGTGGCAGGCTTGTTGCCCTGAACAAAAGAAGGAAAGCGTAAAGAGCAAAGCCGTTTGTAGAGGTTTCTTTGGAAATCCAGCCGGCCAACTCTTTGAACTAGTTGGCCAAAGTTGCAGGAGGCACCCGAAAGGAGTGTGGTGGGTCTGTCCCCTCCTGTTCAAGACTTTGGGGGAGGTGGGTGGCGTGGGAAGAATCTGGAGAAGGCATGTCCCTAGAGGGACTGGGGGGCTTATTTGGGCTCATCTGTTAGTCTCAGAGAAGTTGCCCAGACCTCCCCTGTGGATCCCTAGGGCACTCACCCTGGCATTATCTTCTAATAAATCTTTACAATTGAGTCTTTTCTCCCCACCTCAACAATAAGCAGCTTGTAGGCAGGGAGCCGTCATCCCCTTTTTGAAGTGACCCCCTCCCCTCCCCCGCCACCTGGCTAGCTGGCAGCTTGCTTACTAGCAGTTTGCAGGTTGAAGGGAAGTGGTATTTGGTGAGAGACTGTAAGGGCATCTGTGTGTGAGGGAGTGGTGGGCAGGCCAGTGAACAGGAGAGGGCACAGTCAAACTCCAGGTCTATTAGAAGAAGTGGAAAAAAAAAAACCGCAGCGGTTCTTATTTTCATACTGATGTTCTTGTGATAGTCAGGATAGGGGCAGGGTATCTGTCAGCAAAATCAGATGTCCTTTGGAGACTTTTATCTTTCTTGTATTAGTATGGCTTTTGGAAAGTTGAAGTTCATGGTATCTGGCCATCCTGCCAGCGTGTCTTCTCCCCCAGCCCAGCCTTCCAAACAGCACTTCCTTTCGTGCCCCTGCTATGTCCCTCCTCTTACGGCTAGACACACCCCACAATCCATTCTGCAGCGTCTGTCCAGGAGTGGAAGGGCAGGCCATGGCGTCAGAGTCCCCCTTCTCCTCGAGCTGCTTAGACCTTGCCGCTCATCTGATTTATTACTACAACTTATCAATACCAGGGTTCCCATCACAGTTGGGCTTCGTTTGCCATCCCCCTGACTGACCTGTTCGAAAGGGAGGTAACCTTGACATTCACATTTCTTAAAGGCCTGCTCAGCTCATGGGGTAGAAGCAGTGTCTGCAGGTGGAAAGAGCACAGGTCTTAGAATCAGAAGAGTCGACTAGGGAGGTCTGTCCTTTACGCTGCCATACGCTTGGCTACAAGTCATTGAACTTCTGTGGGCCAGTGTCGTCATTGACAAAGGGGAGTCATAATACCTATCTCCTGGAGCTGTCAGCATAAATAAGATAGGAGGTGAAGGTGCTTTTAAAGCTAAACAGTCCTACCTGAACAAAAAATGCAGGCTTTCCTATGGGATAGAGACAAGCGCTGGCAATGACCACTCCACTCAGGAGGTAGGGGCTGGAGAGGGGGCCTGGGAATCCATCAGAAATCCCCTGCCGGGCCATGAAGGCACATTTTCATCACACAGTGGAGTCCTTGCTGGTATTGATGTTGGAAACGGGGCTAATGTGTCTCCTGCCCAGGCTGACAGTATTTTTACCACCTTTCACCCTGATTCATTGTGTGTCTCAGTAGGTTTTATCAAAACCGTATTATGTGCTAGATCTCTGTGAGTTCACAACTTTGTCATAGTCTGTCACTCCCTTATGGATTCAGTCCTCTCAAGGCACATGCCGAGGGAGAGCGGCAGTGTTGCAAGCAGCCAGACTTTCCCTGTGGCTAGCGTGCTTCCCTCTGTCATTGGCAACCTGAATTTCCAGAGTTTGGCCAACAGCCTTTCTAAGGGAATGACTCTTGCTTCCTCCTGTGTTGCCCCTTGAGGCCTGCAGAACTATCCTGCTCAGCGTCACGGACAGGATTCCCACTGGAAAACCCCAGCACTGTAGCACTGTTAACTGTCTGTCTTTGCAGTGTGCTCCCTGCCCCCGGAGCCAGAGAATGGCGGCTACATCTGCCACCCCCGGCCTTGCAGAGACCCCCTGAACGCGGGCAGCGTCATTGAGTACCTGTGTGCCGAAGGCTACATGTTGAAGGGCGATTACAAGTACCTGACCTGTAAGAATGGAGAGTGGAAGCCAGCCATGGAGATCAGCTGTCGTCTCAACGAGGGTCAGTCTGACAGATGGGAAAGGGGGTGCTGCTGGGGTTCTGCTTCCTTTCACCACAGGCAGTGGTGCCCACTTCCTCCAGAGCACCTGTGCTGTGGGGCAGGATAGTTCCTTTGATGCCCTGTGGCCTCCCTTCCTTTGGGATTTCAGGTCTTTGTGCAAGACATCTGGGGTTGCTGGTGCGTGTCCCACTGCAATTCAGCTGGGCCACCAAGGGGCTCAGTAGCTTTACTGAGGCATCTGTTCTGCTATGTAAAGTCCCTTTGATGCTCAGCATCTCCTGTTTGCCCAGCCAAGTGCTGGTGACCTTTGACCATGTTCTGCTAATACCTTCTGGAGTATCTCTTTTATATTATTTTTCTTTGAATGGAAATGGACGATTTTGTTATAGAACTGCAGTCCAGCTGGACAGAAGACTTCACCCTCACCCCCTCCTGCCTCCTCCTGTTGTGCATGACAGGAAAATCCAGCTGCCTGCAGGAAAGCGTCTGTCATACAGCCGTCTTTGTGCTTCACACTCAGGCTCCAAGACCATGACAACCCAGGGAAGGCTGGGGACCGGCCTGAGATTTACAACTGAAGTTACAGGATCTTAGAACAAGGGGTTATTACAGCCTGGTTCTTACCAGTTTCCCTGCCACGTGGGGGAAACATGGGCGGGACCTCGGATGGTGGAATGCCGTGGCCATGGAAGTGGCCGATGTCCACCAGCCTGCTACTGAGGGCAGCGTCAGAAGGGGTTCATACAGGTCAGATCTCTAGGGGTTGGTGAGGTTAGGAGGGAGATGGCCCTCACAGGGCTGAAGTGAATTTTAGGTTTTGGAACAGGGTAGGGAAACGGCCCCTTCCCTTGTATGTAAACACTGCTCCACACGTCGACTTCTAAAGTGGCCCCAGCCGTGGCACTGGGCAAGGAACCTTGGACAAGATCAGCCGTGGGGTTCACGTGTTCCGGGTCTGGGTATGACACACTTCTGACAATGGTTTATTTCTGTAGACAAAGATGCCCACACGTCCCTCGGGGTCCCCACGCTGTCCATAGTGGCTTCCACTGCCAGCTCCGTGGCACTCATTCTCCTCCTTGTGGTGCTGTTTGTGCTGCTGCAGCCGAAGCTGAAGTCGTTCCATCACAGCAGGTGAGCCTGTCGGGGGGGCGGCGGGGGCGCTGTGGGGGCTGGCCTCTGACGGCACAGGGGTTGCTGGTGAGCCCGGCAGCCTCTTCTGCTGTGTGCGCCCAGGGGAAACGGGCGGGGGCGGGGGGGCTTCCTGTGCGTTCACTCCTGGATATGCCTGGCCCTGTGCTTATCAGTTTGCACACATTAGCTTAATCCTCACGGGAGCATTGCAGATAAGGAAGCTGAGGCTCAGAGAGGTTAAGTCAAGGTCATCCCTCTAGATGATGACCGCCTGGAGATTGAAACCTAAATATGTCCAACCCCCGAGCCATGTCATTTGCCCTACATCGGTGGTTCTCAAAGTGTGGTTCCAACGACATCAGCATCACCTGGGGGCTTGTTAGGAATGAGAATTTTCAGGCCCCACCCCAGACCAACTGAATGAGAAACTCTGCGGCTGAGGCCTAGTGACTTAGTTTCTTAAGTCCTCCAGGTGACTCTGATGCAGGCTCATGTTTGTGAGCCACTGCCCTGTCCCTCTAGTTCCCAGTCCTGCTGCACAAAGAGGCATCTGCTGGGAGTTAAACACAAACACCAACACCTGGGCCTCTATCCCCAGACATTCTGATTAATTTGTTTTGGAGTGCGAGCCTGGCATTAGTGTTTTTTTTTGTTTTGTTTTGTTTTTTAAGATTTTATTTATTTATTTGAGAGAGAGAATGAGAGAGAGCACATGAGAGGGGGGAGGGTCAGAGGGAGAAGCAGACTCCCTGCCGAGCAGGGAGCCCGATGCGGGACTACATCCTGGGACTCCAGGATCATGACCTGAGCCGAAGGCAGTCGCTTAACCAACTGAGCCACCCAGGCGCCCCATGGCATTAGTGTTTTTTAAAAAACTTCCCCAGTGTCCTAACGTGGGGCTAGGATTGGCAGCCACTGCTCTATACCGCACTAGAAACAGAGGAAGTAGGGGTTTTGCCTGCCTTTGTCACTTTCCTTCTTCCAGTTGAATGCGTTAGCCACAAGTCATCCCAGACTGGGCAGATGAGGTGGGGGGTGGGGGAGAGCAGATGGTTGGGGGCTGGCCGGGCGTGTATCCCTTAGGAGGGACTCCACTCCAGGGCTGTCCTGCCTCTGTGGTTGCTTCGCTTGGCCCAGCGGCCCCTCTTTCTCCTGAGAATGGTTTGTGTGCCCTCACAGCCCTTCATCAGTCACTGTTGCCATCCACAGGCGCGGGGGAACAAACAAAACTGTGTTAAATAAAATGCTTCCTGGTCTGGAATTTACAGACAACGCCCAGGCTAAGTTGAATCCTGATGTACTAGGTGTGATTTTTCTGTCTCCTTTTTATTTTTTGTTTGGGGGAGCAGGTTGCAGCTATTTTTTTTGAAGGTTGTTAAACAATTAGTAGAATAAAGAGGATCTGGAGGGGACTGTTTACTTAAAGAATCGGCTATTTCCACATAAAGTCAAGCTGATCTACTTGTCATTTCATCCAAATTAGGGAGTATTTTTCTCTTGTAGTTATCTGGTAAGTGTGTTAAAAGTGATGGGCTGATTTTTCCTGATTTGAGTGGAAGAACGATTTGGTTTTTAATATGGGCTCTGTTTAAATTTTGTACTGTGTGCACATACTACGTTTTAAACAAACAAAAAGCGTTTTGAATAACAGAAGTTAAACACATACCAGAATGCACACTGCTTTCTCTGCTCCCTTGCTGTCAGTTTCCCTTCCTTCCAGAAACCTCCATGCATTTCTTTTTTTTTTTTTTTAAGATTTTATTTATTCATGAGAGACAGGGAGAGAGAGAGAGAGAGAGGCAGAGGCAGAGGCAGGCTCCCCACTGAGCAAGGAGCCCGATGTGGGGCTCGATCCTAGGACCCTGGGATCATGACCTGAGCCGAAAGCAGACGCTTAACCATCTGAGCCAGCCAGGCGCCCTCTCCATGCATTTCTGAGTACCACTTCTGTCATCCTCATTGTCTGTGCCATTTGAATTGGGCGGCACAGATTTTATCTGCAGCTACAGGTGAGGAACTTGAGAGCTAGTGACAGCAGTCCAGTCCTCGGCGTTCTGTGTCTCATGTGATGCACCGAGGAGGACACATAGCACAGATGACAAAGTGTTCTGGGCAAACACTGACTTGGGATCTTAATCCCAAGGAAACAATTCAGTCCAGATTGTGGGACGTTCTAGGAGACGACCAGCCTGGACTCTACGAAAAATGTCAGTGTCGTAAAGGAAACTCTATAGTGGACTGTCCTAGGGGAAAGGAGATGAACTAGGACTAACTGCAACGCATGATCCATAATTGGATCCTCAAGGGAAACAGACAAGACAACAGCTGAAACAGATCTCTTTTGGGGTAGTTGGGAAAATTTGTATTACGGTCTTATACCATGGTTCAATTTCAGGGATGTAATGATGTTGCAGTTATATAGGAGGGGAGGTTCTTGGGAGGACTGTGCCAAATAATGTTTTATGTAGCAAAAAGATAACTTGCTTTCAAAATGATTCAGGAAAAATGTGTGTGTGTGTATCAAAAAGTGATCTCAAAAAAGGTGCTTGCATGAATCTCACACGCATAAAGTTGAATAAAAGCCAGATACATGTACACATACACACACATGCATACATTCATTGTATATCCCATTCGTATCAAGATCAAAAATATGCAAAACTCAATTGTGGTGTTGAAGGGTTCATGTTTAGGCAGTAAAACTATTGAAATAGAAAGCAAAGGAATGCTTTTCTTTTCTTTCTTACTTTTTTTTTTTAAAGATTTTATTTATTTGACAGAAAGAGAGACAGCGAGAGTGGGAACACAAGCAGGGGGAGTGGCAGAGGGAGAAGCAGGCTTCCCGCCGAACGGGGAGCCCAATGTGGGGCTCGATACCAGGACCCTGAGCCGAAGGCAGACGCATAACGACTGAGCCACCCAGGTGCCCCAGGAATGATTTTCATGAAAGTTAGGAGAGTGGTTACTTTGGCTATGAGAAGGTAGGAGATCATAGCGACAGGAACAAGGGTGTCTGGGGATGCCGGCAGCATTCTCTGTCTTGACCTCAGTAGGTGTTATACCCCAGTTACCTTTGGGATAAAACAAGCTGTACATTTTTCTATTTTTGTGTGTTGTTGTGTTATAATTTACGTATAATTTTTTTTTTTTTTAAGATTTTATTTATTTATTCATGAGAGACAGAGCGAGAGAGGCAGAGGGAGAAGCAGGCTCCCAAGGAGCAGAGAGCCCGATGCGGGACTCGATCCCAGGACCCTGGGATCATGACCTGAGCCGAAGGCAGACGCTTAACCATCTGAGCCACCCAGGCACCCTACGTATAATTTTTTAAGTTAAAAAAAAGCTAAGTCAAAACAAAATTCCTTAGATTTCAACTCCAGTGTCTCATTTCAAGACCACAGTGCTGCTTCTCCCTCCTTTTTTTTAAAACCGCTTTATGGAGATTTAATTCACATACCATAGAGTGTATCCACTAAAGTATTCAGACGGTATGTTCACAGACATATGCAAGCATTATGCTCTTACTTCCTACCTGTGCTGAACGATGGCATTATTTTTAGGTCTCTAGGTTCCTAGGTTTTGCACAGGACGAGAGAGGGCTGGGTGCCTGTGTACCCAGAGGGTAAGAACAGAGTCTCTGGAAGCAGACGGAACTGGATTCACATCCCAGCTCCCTCCCTGACCAGCTGTGTGACTGGGCAGGTTACTTGACTTCTCTGAGCCTCATCTGCACTCTTGGTGAATCTGTACCCGATAGGGCTCAGGTGAGGGTTCAGTGGAATAAAGCGCTTAGTGCTGTGCCTGGCACATTGTAAGTGCTCAAAAATGGTCGGTATTGTTGGTGTTACGGTATTTGTGTGTGTATTTTAATTCTTCCTCTGTCTTTTCCTCCTTTGGCTGCAGGCGCGACCAGGGGATATCTGGCGACCAGGTGTCCATCATGGTGGATGGAGTCCAGGTTGCGCTCCCGTCCTATGAGGAAGCTGTGTATGGCAGTTCTGGTCACTGTGTGCCACCTGCTGACCCCAGGGTGCAGATCGTGCTGTCAGAAGGGTCTGGGCCCAGTGGGAGGAACGGGCCAAGGGAGCAGCAGTTGCAGGACCAGGGGGCCTGTTCCTCTGCAGGTGGAGAGGAGGAGGCCCCAGGCCAGTCTGGACTATGTGAAGCCTGGGGCCCTCAGAGCTCAGAAACAGTGATGGTGCATCAGGCAACCACTTCTTCCTGGGTGGCCGGCTCAGGGAACAGCCAAGTGGCATACAAAGAAGCCCCAGATTCGGAGAACAGTGACATACAAAGCCTTTTATCCCTCGCATCGGAGGACTACACAGATGGTAGGTGGTCTGCACTGAGCATGAATTATGAGCCTCTTGGTGGCCTTGCGGGGAGTGAGGAAGGACTGAGAGCCTCTCTAATAATTGGGTATTGGGGGGCAAAGGAAGATAATACCTGGGGGATTAGCCTACAAAGTAAGGTCTCACCCTCAGCTCCTGGGGGGTGCTTTGGGCTCTGTATAGGAGACTTTTGACTGTTGTCTGTGAATCTTGATAGTTTGGAGTTTCCAAAACTATTTGTGGCCACAGGGCTGTGCTAAATCAAAGGGAGGACAGCTTGTTGGAGGTGGGAGCGGGGTCTGTTCTCCTGTTACAATTTTTATGTTCCTGAAAGGATAAGAGTGACAAGGAGGTATGGGGTCACATTACAGAGAAAACGAGCTGGTCTCTCTTCCAGGGCATTCAGCAGTTTGATTTGAAACAGGAGTATGACACTCCTGTGTAGTCGGTTCTCTTGCATTATCTCGGTTAAACCTCACAGTGATCCTGAGAAGTAGGTGTTATTACCATTCCTGCTTTACAGATGAGGAAACTGAGGCCAGAACGTATGTCACTTGCCCATTGGTAAGGGGCTGAGCTGGGATTTGAAGCCGGATGGATCTGGCTCTGAAGCCTGTTTATAACCCACAGTGCCATGCTGCCTCGCAGGTGACTTCGGGTTCTCTGTGGCAAGCCAGCCGTAGAAGGAAATGGCCACTTCCTGACCTGTCTGCCTTTTCTGGAGCCTGGAGAGTTGAATATCGGGATTGACCCAGTCACTTTAAACACTATCTTTACATGAAACCCCAGTGTGGTTCAGGATGCAGCCTAAACCTAGCTGTTTCCCTTTGGACAGGGAGGCTTCTGCACTAACCAGGCTCCTCGGAAAGCCAGCGTGGAATCAGTGTGCCCTTGGGAGTCCTGGACCCAGTTAATGGCTGAGGCTTAGAGTATCTGAAAGCAAAGAAGTTGGAAATTCTTGAATGCAGATCACGTTTAGGAGTTTCCTGAAACCAACAGCATGCCTTCTTTTGGTGGGATAGAGAGCTAGGAAGGGGTCGCGACACAGTTGACCCAGATCTAAAGGTGGAAGCCAGTGACCCCGTGGATAGCCAGCTATACATATTATGTGTCTGCACGTACTGACACCTGACCCAAGTGCACTTCTCGGCCCTTACTTTCCTCAGGAGCCTTGATGGTGCCTGCTCTTTTCCCTTCTTCTCCTTGCTACCTTGCTTTGTTCTGTTTATTGAACAAGCATTTTTGAGAACCCGTCTTGCGCCTGGTGCTAGTTAGGTTTCTGGGGGGATAGAAAGTAATTTGAAAGCTGCTATCTGCCTGCATGGATGGTCAGTCGTTTGGGAAGATCAGGCCTATATTTGAGAAATAATGGAACCAGGAGTTGTAGGGTCCACGTCAGAGTGAGGGCCACAGAAAAGATACAGTTTCTCCAGCTCGTTGCAGTTGGACTGAGCCGTCTGCACCTGATGGCCCGGTAGGAAGTCAGGACCTCGAGGCATCAGTGTAACCAGGTGGACATAAAAGGAGACCAAGACCCAGAGAGGAGAAGTGAGTTACTCAGTATCACACAGCTGGTGGATGGCCGTAAGGAGGAGGTGGGACCTAAGCAGGGCTCCGCAGCCTTATAACGTGAGATTAAGGATAGAAAGAGAAGCAACTAGACCAGCAGAGTCAAGGCAGAGAGGAGGTCCAAGGTAGTGGGACCAGAGGGGATTCGAATACTAGACTGAACATTCAGATTTTATCACAGAGATAGGGGGAGAGATGAACAAGGAAGGCCTGAAGAAAGGGCTGAGGGGTTTAGACTCATTAGAAGTCTAATTTTTTTTAATTAATTTATTGATTTTAGAGAGAGAGAACGTGAGTGGGGGGAGGGGCAGAGGAAAAGGGAGAGAGGGGGGAAGAAGCAGACTCCCTGTAGAGCGTGGAATCCCATGTGGGGCTCGATCTCATGACCCTGAGATCATGACCTGAGCTGAAATCAAGAGTCGGACGCTTAACCGAGTGAGCCACCCAGGTGCCCCTGAGTGAGGCATTTTATTTCTTCAGACCAGGGCCTGCACGGGGACCCTGAAGTGGGATCAGGTGTGCTGCAGAGAGAGGCCCCCCCCGCCCCCCGCAGGGTAACCACTGTGCTTTCCTGTCTTCTCTTCCTGCAGATATCCCACTGTTGAAAGAAGCATGAGCGCTGTCACGGGCCTCTCCTCTCTGCAACGGTCCTCTTGTCCTTCTGCCCTCTCCTGGGGTTTTGAGCGCCCTGTACTCCAGCCACCCTACCCGGATACCTGAGCTGCCACCTGTGTATCTGTGTATCTCTGTATGTCTGAGGGCCTCCAGGCCCGCCTTGCTGGAAGCTCGAGGAAGAGTCTCGCCATCTGCCTGCTGGACAGCTGGAGGAACTGGCCTTTTGCCTAGCCTGGCCTGCCCATCTGTGTCGGGGACATATCTGAATGTGCTGGACTGAGCTCTTCCTTTCCCAGGGCCCGCTGGGTCCCCCCCAGCCCGCTCTCTGGCGGCAGACCCCACCAGCCTGCGCGGGCCTGAGAGCCGCTGTGTTTACTTGTGCCTTCCCCCCAGCCCCTCCAGTTCCCCTGTCAGGCGGGCTCGTGGCTGTCCTGCAAGCCTTAGAGGCTGCCCCACGGCCTCTGCCCCACGGGGGGCCGGGACTGGGGCTGGGGCTGGCCTCTTACCTCGGAGGGCTGGCACCGCTGCCCTTGGCAGGGGCAGATCCAAGCGTGGCTCTGCTTAGGGCAAGAATGTGGGTCCCTGGGCCTGCCCTTAGCTGACACCGGTGGCACGTTGCTTTGGCCGAGGATGGAGGATGTGGGGACAGCCATGCCAAAGCTATGCCAGCGCCCAGCTGTCCGGCTCCGAGGTGCTGGCTCCCGGCCCTGGTGAGTTCCCAAGAAGCATGGAGAAGATCCTGAGGGAGGGGAGGAAGGTGGCTGAAGACGGTTGTCTTCCTGAAACGCGAGTCCTCACTTCCACGTGCAGCACTGGCCTTCCCGGCCGTGGTTTTCTCTGTCCCGCTGGAGCGTGAGGGGAGGTGGCCTGCTGCCTCCTGGGTTGGATCCTTGGCAACCTCCGCTGGCTTGCTGCCCACAGGGCCCGAGGTGAATCACCGCTGGGACGGGGGAGTTGCTGAGGGGCCGCGGAATGCGCGAGGGGCCGCTGGCATTCGGGGCAGGTTGCCCCGTTCTGGGTTCGTGGTGACGCAAGGGAGCCTGGGAGGCACAGACCGAGTCCCCAGGCAGCTGCAGGCGGCTCCAGCCCCGGTCCTGAGGGGCCTCGTCACCCCAGTCACGTGCCTTAGTAATTGCGCCCGGAAGCGAGCTGCTGCTCGCGCACCGCTGCTTTTCCTCCTCGTGTTTCCCCTGCCGCCCTTCCACAGGTCACAGCGGACACAGGACTCCCTGCTCCCCCTGGCACCTGGGCGAGGGGCTGAGAGCCTCGACACCCCGCCTCGCTGGTCTGCGGTGGGTGGAAGCTCGCCAAGCAGCCTGGCCCTGGAGCCCCGCCGTCGAAGGGGGTGGGCTCTGCGCTCCCCGCTGCTCTTCGGGGGGCTCTCACTCTGCCACCTGTGGGTGCTGACCAAGGCTGGGGTGGCAGGGCGCAGCCAGGCTACTGCCATCCTCAGAAGATGTGGCATTGAGGGAGGTTTATTTCTGTTTTGGTTTTGAAGCACTGGGGCTGGGAGACTTGTCGCTGACCCCGCCGGCACCTCTGCTCCCCCAGGCCGCTCTGTTTGGGGTGGTGAGAACAGTAGAGAACCCAGTTTATTTTCAGTACCTGACCTGACAGGGTAGCTCCAGGCGTGGGCGGCCGCCAGGTTAGGGGAATGGCCTCCTCTCGGCCTCCTGCGTTACTCTCTCACGCACTTTACCGCCCACTCCTTCCCAGCCTCCTGGCACCACTGTAGGCTTCCTTCGCTCAGGGTAAGGGCAGTGCCTGCTGGGCCTGCGGGCAACCCCCTTCCTCCCTCCAGGAGCCGGCTGGTTCCATATGGAGCAGGTTGGCGGAGATGCTGGAACGCAAGCCTCCGAGGGACCTGCAGACGCCCGGGGGGCCTGGCCTTGGCCTCCGAAGAGGCCGTTGCCGGAGCCGTGCCTCCAGCAGTCGCTAGCACTGGGCCCATCTGGAGGGTGGGGTCCCTACGGACCCGAGTTGCCTCTTCATGCACGGAGGGGTGCCCTTGTCTTCCTCCAGAAAAGAAAGCAGGGACAAATGGTGGAGGGATCCAAAGTCTCACTCTTGGGCTTGCAGCCTAGAATATTTTTTAAAATGGAATATCTTACCCTTTTTTTATACCATTACTCTGGGTTTTCCCCCCTAAGAGACTGCACTATTTGTTTTGGGTTTGTTCAGCCACATAGGTGACCGGCTTAGCCCTTGGAAAAAAAAAAAGAAATGAAAAGCCTTTCTTCTGAAGCCTTCTTCCACCTCGCCCGCCATTAACACCATCCTGGGGATCACAAGCCCAGACTTGCCTACCTGGTAGGAAAGAAAGTCTGGATAAGTGGGAACCTAGTGCACACACACTCCCTTACCCCCTCTCTCCCCTCCCCTGCGTCATTGGCTTTGCTGAGGCCCCCCTCCCACGTCTCTGCCCCGGGAGCCCCTGGGCCTCCCATTCACCTCGCACTTCTCTGGAGCAGTTTCTTAGCCATCAGCCAGGTGCTGCTCTTTCTAGGGCTTCTGGGCTTTGTCCCTTTTAAGGGATTAGGGACTCCACAGCTGCCTTGCGGTGGAGCCCGGCGGGAGACAAGGGCCGTGGCACGGAGCAGGTCATTAGGCGGGAGGCTGCCAAAGGAGTCTAGAGCAGGTGGGAGAAACGCCCAGGGCCTGGCTTTTCCAAGGCTCACCTCTAGCGGAGTCCAGCAGAGGGCTTGTCCAGGAGAATGGCCCGAACCAAAGGACTAAAAGTGTCTTTTTGCACACATGAGCTGACTCAGTGCAGGTTTTATATTCTGGTGACTTGCAGTCACATGCCAGCGACTTTCAAGGGCCAGTATGTGGTGAAAATCGCTAAAGATTTCTGTCCCTTTCAATGCCTTAGTTTAGCAGATAGGCTCTCTGTTTTGCTATTTCTGAATTTTGTGTGCTGTGTTCCTGTTTCACTTGTGTGAACTGTGAAATGGGCTGAATCCTAGCCACTTTGCAAGTTCTTTTGGCTTTACAAGGCATTTCAATGTGCATTCTACTAACACTCCATTTGCAAACAGAACTTAAGCTCATGTTGTCTTCCCCATTCATCCCTTCCCCCTCCTCCTCTGCCCTTCCCCCCCAGCTTTCAAGTTCTTTGGAGAAGCCTGATGGCAAGACAGACAAAGGTAGACTTTTCCTGCTTCTTTAGTGCTGGCACAGGGATCCCCAGGCGCTCGGCCCCTCCCCTCCCGGTTCTGCCTGAGCTCTCGAACCACCTGCTTGCCACACAGCAGTGTCTCTTCCGTTTGCAGGGAACACCGTCACATAGAAAGTGGGATATGCTGCAAACACTTCTACATCCTTGCCTTTCTTTCCTCCTTAAAAGAGAATAAAGGACCCAGAAGGGAAGTGGTACACAGGCTTTACAGTGTAATTCCGGATGTGCTTGCTGAGGACAGTGATGCTGGGGGCTTCTCTCGGGGGTTGCTGCTTGGGGCCCTGGCTCTCAGTAGAGGGCCAGTCGCTCCCGGTGCCCGGGGAGGGGCTGAAAGAGATTTTGCTTGGCAGAAGCATGGACCGAGTGGTAGAGTAGCTGGTTCCCTGGACAGGGAAAGGCAGCAGGCTCAGCTTTGCTGGGAAGCAGCTCCTCTTAATCTCCAGTTGAAAACCTAATAGAATTTTGAATGAAAACCCCCAGGTTGAGCCCTCTGTCGGGCAGCAGAGCTAACTGGAGGGCATGTAGGGGCCAAGCACTCAGATTGCCAAGCAGGAGGGGAGATGGACTCGGGTTGCATGGCAGCCCACCACACCCTGCCCTGGCTTCTTATCACACCACTATGGAATCCTTTGCAGAATGGTACTCCTATATAATGGTTGCAAACGACACATGCATCATTGACTCTGTGCAGGATGTCACTCAATCAGTTTGGGTTTGCTTTATTTTATATATATATTTTTTGGTATCCTGTACATTGCAGTGGGTGTGAAGATAGTATTTTAATATTTGTACAAAGTTTAATTTAATTTTAATTGTTCTATGTATATAACTGCATTTCTAAATAATAATTAAAAAAAAGGTTCTTATGAAGGCAGTTGTGAGAGATGTGATCCTTCCAGAAAGTTTTTGTAGAAACCCGAGAACGAAAGGAGTGCATGTGGTGGGAGCTCCTGATGGGATGAAGCGCTAGCTCCCGGGCGGGGTGTCTAGCGGGAGCAGACGGGACAGGGAGTGTGCCATTCAGGGAAGAGAGAGCCCAGGCCTTGGTGGAAATAGATTCATATCTCTGCAGAGGTCCTCAGTATGTCAGCCATGTGCTGCGCTGGGACTCCGAGGAATCTCTCGGAGGCGGACAGTTCCAACAGCATGCCTCGATGATCACGGAAGCTATGCCAGGGGACAGTCAGCAAACATCCTTTAGATGGATGGCAAGTAAGCTGAAATGCCAAGGGTCCGCACAGCCAGGCTAAGGGGCAGGACACCACACATGTGCCGAAAGCAGGTGCAGCGGGGAGAGAAAGAGGAGTGGGTCTCAGGGCTGAGGAGGGGGGAGAGCGGCAGAGGCCGGGTGGCCCTGGCCCTCCGGGCCCTCCGAGTGAGGAGTGGGGAGGTTTGACTTCGACTTCATCTTCTGCGCGGCTCGAAGTGCTTTGAGCAACAATGATTTAGTGAGATCCCCTTTTCTGGGGGGAAGCTCTCCCCATCTTTTAAGAGGGATGTTCAGGGCGACAAAACACTACCGGAGAGCACGTAAGAAGTTGTCGGTCTTGGGAGGAAGGCAGTGTGAGCAGCTAGCAACCCCCTCTCTGAGCTGGGGAAATGGAAGGCACGGGCTGGGGAGGGAAAATGACGGAGTTCTCGGGACCAGAGGGCAGAGCGCACACAGGTGGAGACGTCCTCCCCACGTAGGAGAGGCCGACCGTATCTGAGCAGCTACAACAGGTGGTAAGGGTGCGAGAAGAGGGAAGATGGGGAACTTTGGGATAAAAAATCAGGCCACTCTTGAAGTTGCTCTGGGGATGATTAATGGCCAGGGTATGTTTCTCTGATACTTAGGGTCAGGTGGGAAAATGTTTGCGGAGCATCGTGCCAAGCCTCCACCTTTGTAGCCCCAGTCCTCAGGTCAGGTCTGCACAAACATCACTGCCCTTCGTTGCAAGGAGGCGAGGGGACGAGCATTTCACCAACTTCTCAAAGTCGCGGTGAGAGTGGCGGAAACGCACAAGCGCTCCCCCTGTAGCAGGCAGAGTTCTGCGCACTCGTGTGTGTGAACCCCGGAGCCACACGGCGGGCTCTACAAGGCCAGCGTCGCTATCGCTGCGAGCTCCAATGCCCATATACTGACACTGAAGCACAAAGAAGTGGATTAACTTGCCCGAGGTGGGGCCGGGAGTGAATTCAAACCCAGGCGGTTCTGTGGAAGTGATCTCCTCCCTGTGCTGTTCTCAGCCCAGCAGCCCACACGGCCCGCCTCCCAAGGCCCTCACCGCCCTCACTCTGCCTTTCAATCTCTGTTCCAACCAGTGAGCTTCAGGCAGAGGGAAAAGCAAGGTCATGGCAGGGAAATGACACACGGTTCACTGGGGGACACACGACAGACACGCATCCCAAAGACTGAGAAGTGCCCAGCGTGGTGTGGGGGAGGAGGCATTTCAGCTACACAGGCTGTGATAGGAAATAAGTTCACAAAGCAGCAGGAGTTGCTCCCCCACAAGAAAAAAATACGTAAAAAGGAAAAACTACTTACTTCTGTGATAGGTACATCTTCTTTGTTACTGGAGAACGGGCAGAAGTGTGTCCCATCAGGTAAGGAATGCTGGGGAAGGCAGCCTTGTCCACGTGGGGTCACCCGTGGGGTTACCTTTCTCTTGAAGACAGATGGGGGGTGCAAAGGAACAATGCTTGGCGGGGAGGGCTGGCTTGAAGTGCTTTTGCCTCCGGTGGGAACAGGTGGATGGGAGGAGAGAAAAGGAATGTACAAGAAAGTTATTCCAAATTATACTCTCATTCCCACAGCCCCACCAGCATGGGGATTATCATTTAAAAAAAAAAATACGCCAGTTGAAAGAAAATGGTATTTTTTTTTTTAAAGATTTTACTTATTTATTTGAGAGAGAGAATGAGAGAGAGAGAGAGCACATGGGGGGGGGAGGGTCAGAGGGAGAAGCAGACTCCCTGTTGAGCAGGGAGCCCGATGCGGGACTCGATCCCGGGACTCGAGGATCATGACCTGAGCCGAAGGCAGTCGCTCAACCAACTGAGCCACCCAGGCGCCCAGAAAATGGTATTGTTTTGATTCACACTTGTGTCATTATTCCTGAAGCTGAGTTTTGGAAGTATGGTTTGTCTACCGTTTATAAAAACAAAAGACATATTGAAAATTGTGCAAGTTGGGTGTTCAAGATGTCCATGTTTGAGATGAAAAGTCAAAACTGTAATTTCTCCTGTATAATTAAATAATGCATGATAGATATATACATAGATACATAGCTAGTTCACTCCTGTCAGCTCCCTGGTGGTAGAGGAACATCTCAGGGACCGTCCCATCACATGCCAAGAGGTGAACAGCTATTGGGCATTTCAGATTTCCCATGATACTCCAGTGCCCCCAGCAAAGAAAATTTCACAACCTAGGAATGTCCTGAGCAGCCCATCTCGGGCAGCTTGAACTATTCCTGAGCCTGGGGTAGTAGATGACTCTCAACTTGGCAGGCCACTGCGGAGGGTTTGGCAAGGATGGACTTCCCCACACACAGCTTCCCTGGAGGAGCAAGTAACCCGCCTTCAGCAAAGGCAGCCTGTTTGCAGGGTAAGCCTGTGGGCCAGGGCTGAACATCTGGGGTGATTTGGGGTGTGTGAAGGAAGGACTATGACTCAACACAAACACCAAGCATGAGGGCTGCTATGACTTCTGGGGTGGTCCTGAAGCTCTTGAGGGTTCCAAAGACATAGGGACTTTTGGTGCCTTAGCCTGTCTATGGGATGGAAGGCCATCCCCACTCCTGCTCCAAGCATTTATTTGTTCATTCATTCGACAAACTTTTTTTTTTTTTAAAGATTTTATTTATTTATTTGACAGAGACAGCAAGAGAGGGAACATAAGTAGGGGGAGTGGGAGAGGGAGAAGCAGGCTTCCCGCTGAGCAGGGAGCCCGATGCGGGGCTCGATCCCAGGACTCTGGGATCATGACCTGAGCCGAAGGCAGCCGCTTAACCGACTGAGCCACCCAGGGGCCCCCAAACTTTTTTTTTTTAAAGATCTAAATCTACTTTATACAAAGCCTGGTGTTGGATTCCAGGGGCCCAACAGTGAATAAGACTCAGTCTTTGTCCTCAAATAGTTTGCAGACTAATAGGGAGAAAGATTAAAGAGCTACCTAAAACTTAAGGCAGAACTTAAGGAATATCTAACCGTCCACCAGCATAGTGCCTGGGTGGTGAAGAGGGAGGAAGAGTTCATTTCTTAGGGGGTGAGTGAAGATTCCCCAGGGAAGGTGCCATTTATTTGACATCATGAAGAATGGATCTTGTTGCAATACTATAGGTAGGGAAGTAAGTGAACAAGGAGCTGTGGCGTGGGAAGTGTGAAGAGGACTTTTTAGGCCATAGAGACCCTGTAGGAGAAAAGTACCAGCTTATACAATTATGACTCATCCAAAATTGCCGTTTTGGCAGGTTAATAAAAAAGGTCAGATATGGGCAATTTCAACCTAATACATAGTTGTTTTAAGATCTGTCAAAATAAATAACTTTCTTCTTCTTCCTTGACTAAACTTTAATTATTTTAATCACAAGAAAGAAATTTCAGCACACGCATAGACAAGTGCCTAGAGACTTCCTGTCCCAGAGTCTATTCCGCACACAAACAGAACACCGAGCAGAGGGGACTTTCTGGTCACAATCCACCAGTGCCAGGCCCCTGCCAGCAGGGGGTGTCTTCAGAAATCACAGGAGCGATTCAAGTCTCCAGCACATGGGCCAGTTCACTTGCTCTTTGGGGCGGACAACAGAAGGGAGACCCCCTGCCTGCAAACAGGTTTCTGCCAGCAACAGCCAGGTAGCAATTCCAAAGTTAAGAAGTGCTTTTGGTTTTGGGGTTTTTGTTTTGTTTTGTTTTTTTTACCCTTTTGAATTGTTTCCTTTAAGACAGAGATTAAAGGACGGTAGTTGCATCCAACTACAACACTCCTTTCTTGCCAAGTGCCTCTATTCATCATTAGAAACATTAAAAAATGATCAAGCTATCTTATAATAAAGTAATACATGTTAAAACATCAGAGACGACATTTTCCACCTATGATACTGGCAGAAGGAAAGGTTTAAAAATACCAAGTGGGAGTGTAAACTGTACATTCTCTTTGCAAGGCAATTTGGCAACGACAATCCAGTTACAGTGCAGTTCCTGGCCCTTCTCTTGCTGAACAAGTCTGTTCTAAAGCCATTTGGTCACAACATCAGAAAGGGAAACAAAACAGCAACGCTTCAGGGGCAGATTGGAATTGTAGGTATTTGTGATTGTAGGTATTTGAGAAAACACTCCTGGTTTTCTATCTACTTAAACAGATGCAGAAATAAATACAGACGTAGTGCATGCTCACATGTACACATACGCACAGATACTCCCTAGCTCTCTCCAGAGGGCTTGGCAGCACTGGTACCTCAAGAGCCGTGAACACACCTAGAGTTCAGATCTTGGCTTTTAAATACAATTTTCCACTAAAAGGAACCAGGAGTCTTTGGAGAAATGGCTGAGTCCAAAGCCGAGGCAGGAAGATCATGTGGCGGGCCTGAAAGCAAGAAAGTGTTCAAAGAATGATGAGTATATGCCCAAAAGACTCCCACTTGGGGGCGCGTGGGTGGCTCAGTCGTTAAGCGTCTGCCTTCGGCTCAGGTCATGATCCCAGGGTCCTGGGATCGAGTCCCACATCGGGATCCCTGCTCGGCGGGAAGCCTGCTTCTCCTTCTCCCACTCCCCCTGCTTCTGTTCCCTCTCTCGCTGTGTCTCTCTGTCAAATAAATAAATAAAATCTTAAAAAAAAAAAAAACTCCACTTGAAGTTTCTTCTACTGACTAAATCAGGAGCAACGTGAGCATCAAAGTAAATAGTGATGATAATGGATTCTAATCCATTGAATAAAACAGGAGACCATGAGTCCATATAGATAAACAGAAGCCTGATAGACACTACTTTAATCAAATGGGACAAATCAAAATCATGCACCACCTGATGGGATGCAAGGAGAGAAACCAGCATCATTTTCATGATGTTCCCACTGAAATGCAACCTAAATCCAAACATGAAAAAAATGAGACAATCCAAATTGAGTGATACAAAAGAATTGGCCTGTAATCTTTAAAATGTCAGGGTCATGAAAGTCGAGGTTAGACTGAGGAATTGTTCCAGAATGAAGGACACAAAAGAGACTTGAATAAAAAGAAATGTAAGACATGACTTTAAACTGGACAAACGATATTATTGGAACTATCGGCAAAACTTAAATGGGGTGTAAAGATACCACATCCATGTTAATTTCTAGATTTGTTGCTTATATCGTGGTTTTGTAGGAGAAAGTCCTCGTTTGTAGGAAATACATGCTAAAGTCTTTGGAGGGGATTGGGCAATGTACTCCCAAATGGTTCAAGAAACAAAGTTGGTGATTGTTTCTAAATAAAATTATTTACTTTTAAAAAGATTGCAATATACCGTTTGACCTAGAAATTCTGATCTCAGGGATTTTTTCTACAGATATCCTTGTTCATATGTCAAATATCTTATGTGTACAGGCTAGTCACTGCAAGTGTCTAATAAAGCCCAAATTTAAAAAGAACCTAAATAATCACCAAAATGGGGTTAAACACGTATGATACATGCAAGCACAAAACAGATACAGAAAACAGAATAAAATAGCTCTGGACCAATCTACACAATACATTGTTGTATGGAAAAAGCCAAGTACAGAACAAGTGTATGAATACTATCTTTGTGTACACAAAAGAGATACAAAGAAATGTGTCTAAGTGCATGTTTTTCTATGTACAGAGGATCCTTCCTGATCCAGGCAGCATTAGGTGCCTCTGGGAAGGGAGAGTCACTCGGAGGAAGGGTCATCTTTTACACCTTTTGTAATTTTGAATTTGGAAGCAAGTGAATGTATTACCTGTTTAATACATTATTTCTAAAAATGCAAAATGTGTGTTATCTGGGATCAGAAGGAATATTCACAAGAAAATTTGCCAATTTATCTGATCTCTGCTCTTGTTCCAAACTAGCAATCTGCCTTCCGGAAAGGAACACACAGCTCCTCGTAGGGCCATATTTAAGAACTATAAGTAGTATGCATTGCCTGTTATTTCCATCTTCCTTCCCTGAGAAAACAAAAATGATTTCTTGGGATCTTCAGTGTTATGCATTGGATTGTCTTCCCCCGAAAATGCATATGTGGAAATCCTATTTGGAGGTAGTGTTTTTAAAGAGGTAATTAAGTTCAAATGAGGTCATTAGGGCAGGTCCTAATCCCAAATGATTGGTGTCCTTATAAGCATAGGGAATTGGGACACAGACACATCCCGAGGGAAGACGATGTAAAGACATAGGGAGAAGACAGCATCCACAAGGCCAGGAGACAGGCCTGGGACACACCCTTCCCTCACGGCCCTCAGATGGAACAGTCCCTGCTGCCCTCTTGATCTGGGACTTCTGGCCTCCACAACTGTGAAAAAATACATTTCTGTTGTTTAAGCCACCTGGGCAGCAGCCCTAGCAACCTAGGACATCCAGTCTCAAAATGGGGGTCTGACCAAGGCTCTCTCTGACAACAGTGACCTATCCAGGCAAAAAGGGAGTCAGGGAGGGAGGCGGCGAGGGAGGTATGTCAGTCAGCACCCAGGTGGAGCGGGACTTTTTGTTTTAAGATTTTATTTATTTATTTGACAGAGAGAGAGAGGGAGAGAGCACACAAGCAGAGGGAGCGGCAGGGAGAGGGAGAAACAAGCTCCCACAGAGCAGGGAGCCCGACATGGGGCTCGATCCCAGGACCCCAGGATCATGAACTGAGCCCAAGGCAGACGCTTCACCCACTGAGTCCCCCGGGAGCAGGACTTTGAATGCCGT